TATGGGAGAAAAGAGAGAAACGTCTCATTCGAGATCATGCCAAGGGCAGTGCCAGTCTGATGAGGTGAATCCCAAAGTATGTGAAGATTTTGGTATGGGAACACGCGTCTAAAGACCAACAACCAAAGAAAGGACAAACAATGGTGAATGCTGTTCAAGGCGCAGTGTGCGCTAGCATAGTCAAGACTCGCACATCATGCACAAAGTGACCGTCATACTGGGTCTGGGGTGAGATTAAATGGCAAAAATGTACCTTCAGCGCCATGTGCCACGCATTAAAGTGTCATAAGTACGCAGAGAGCCCACAATGGCAAGCAAACACAAGTCACTGACTGTGACCTTAGGAAGTCCCAGTCCAATTACAGCCTTGGTGGATTGAGGAAAGCAGATCCCTCGATAAGAAATGGTCATCGGTTGGTGGGCCAAAAAGTCGACATTACAACCGATTGCCCGCTTTTTCAAGCAGCGCACCCCTCTCACTCACCACTAAGTGTATCGAAGCCGACATTACAACCGATTGCCCGCTTTTTCATGCAACGCACCCCTCTCACTCACCACTAGGGCATTCAATAAGTGTATCGAAGTTAATTGCCATCATCCAACACTGGTGCCTGTTATTCGTGATGATGAAGACGATGAACTCAAAAAGGACTGTGCGATATCATGTGATAGTGTAGCAGTGATGTTAGCCACATCGCCCATTTTTGTCTGCCTGTCTACTGGACACTATAGACTATTGTGGTGTACTGTTTTTTGGGTTGTTTTATATCAGCCCTGGTATCAACCGGGCATCTTTCACTTCTCTGTTTTATGTTTGTTCTTTAGACTAGGTTCTCAGTACTGTTTTTATGTGAAGATGCCTTTAGTAACTTGCAGGATTTTGATAGCAGTTTCAGCCTAACGTACTTTTAAGGACTACGTTCTCTTGGCAATCGTCACTGAGTAGGATATGTGATTTCCGAGAACCTCTGGTGATACTGGCCTTCGTGAGCGTTTCATTTCCAACCGGATTTCGGTCGAACATCACCATAATTGAATGATACTTGTTCCCCGCGACCTCATTTTCAGCCTCAAATTTGTCTAAACCTACCTATCCTCATCTCTCCGTTTTCAGAGCAAAGTACACTATGTATGAACAATTTACCGGGGCGAAGCTGATGACCGAAAATGGCCTTGCTACAGTCTGTATCCTTTGCGTAACCTATTTTTTTTACCCTTGACCCCCGCCTGCATCCTCACTAATCCTGTTCTTTCCTTCTTCTTGTGCTCGAAGTACCAGTCTTTCGGAAGTACGTTGGTTAACAATGATTGGATAATTCATATTGGTCTGCGTTCATCACATTAGTCCCGACTAATATAAGGAGCTGCTTTCCGTAGAAGAAGTTATACTTTAGCCTGGTTCACGTAAAGTGGGCGGTTTCCAACGTCATTCTGTTCCAGTTTGCAGCTGACTCGTCGTCGGCTCACCCTCAGTATATAACGTTGCGACAATCCGCAGTATGGTTTGCCAGCATAAAATCTCATGCACTTTGGTGGCCTTAATACCGAAAGCTCTTCTGTCAAAGCAGAATTCACGCGTACTATCCATTAAAACGGATTCCGGTGTATGGGATTCTATCTGTCATATATTGTATTGCCAAGAAGAATGTGTATCTCCTCTAGTTCCTCGTCACCATACGCAGAAGTCTCTTCATTCGTGATCACTGCACGAGAGAAGTGTGTCAAACTTTCCACCTTTTTGCGCGTACACTTTGGTACATGGAAATAGTTGGAATAAAAAGCGCGCATCTCACTTATTGCAGTTCCAGTAAATGGTTGTGGTCGTGAGGTTGGACACCACAGTTTAGAACCTCATCGGCGTTTTTGAATTTGCAAATTCAGTTCCCATTTTCAGACATCTCACAACCGTTTTTTCAGGGTCGAGGAAGAGGATCTTCAGTGGGGCTCACAATTGTGGTTGTGCTTGGGCAGACTCGCTAACACAGTTTTCGGCAGCATTTTCAGAGGTTGGGTAGCGTTCCTACTCATTGATCCTCTCTTAGGGTCGAGAGATCCAGATGACTCAGTGTTTAATGTACGGACTTACTGACCACAAGGTCCGTGGTTCGAACGCAATCTTGGCATCTCGATTTCCGCTCTCTAGGCTTGATCAACCTGGCAGTATTTAGGCGCAAAAAGTGTTACAGATGAACTATTTTTAGGATTTGCCAACTATCAAGTTGCAGGCTGAGAATGCCGGCAGTTTCCTTTGACTCCACATACAACTCAAAACTGAATTACCGATCGCTGTCATCCGCTCATCCTCTAGTCAAGGTTGTGGCTACCGATAACCGACATTAGTAACATACTTTTGACGTAATTTTTTGGAGGGGGGGGGGTGAGGGATTGAACGTGTACACACATATCAAACCTTTAAAGTCAGCACCATATTGGCATGATCGATTCCGAAAATATTGGTCCTTTATTTCCTTAGCTTTCTGTTTGCCCGCCAGTCATTTCAACCCCTGATGGTGTGATCCAACATTGTCTCCCGATTCGAAAAGAAGCCACCGTCCCGATCTCTTTGAATAGTGAACTCAAGTTCTCCAGTCAAGAAATCGAAGAGATCGATAACCTCTGGTCGAAGTTGAAATTGGATTCGAGTTGGTCCGACTTTTTAACCGATCCCCCAACTTGGTACAAAGCCTCTCACAAATCCACCGTTCCTGGCGCTGACAATAAGCGGACTGCACTAAAGACCATAAATAATGTATCCTGATGTATTTTTATTACCATTTTGTATATATGTACAATGTATGTATGTCTATGTACAATACCGATATCTGCTTGTTAGAATGAACGGACTACTATTATGACATTCCGTCATCTTTACACATCGTCACTTCAATACCGATATCTGCTTGTTAGAATGAACGGACTACTATTATGACATTCCGCAATCTTTACACATCGTCACTTCAACCCAGGTCCTTCCAACTTAACCCCCCCCCAGTTACCGACTTCATGCGAAGTGTTGGGTATCGGTGCACTATGAATATCATGAATGTGTAAAACGCCATGCCGTGGCGGTGATGTTGTAGCACACTGTTTTTCTGTGAGTTACATGCGTGGATACAATTGTTCTAAGCATTAGGTTTCACGCTGTTACCGGTCCTGATTGAAGCTCACTCTCGCCCAGCTAACCTTGACAGCATCTTGAGATCAGGTAATCGGTAGTTTATCTGAATCAGTCAAAGAACAACACGTGGTTCATCGCTCTGAGCTTGGTGCACACAGACATGGCAACCAGAAGCGGCAGGCAGACTGCAGCCAAACTGAATAGTAAAAAAACCGCTGACATAACAGCATAACGGGATACCGCTTGAGGTGAGAGATGTCTAGGGTTGCATCTGATCAGAAAACGACCCCGTTAAAGGTCAAAATCACGGGCTAGTTTGAAAATTAATCCATCATTTAGTATCTATAGTGTTCAAGAGGCTTCTGTGTCTGGGCAGGATCCGCTACTCTTGAAGGTTCAAATGTGCAGAGGATCACATTCCTTGAAAGTACGAATGAGAGGATTCGATAGTCGATGATAGATAACTTTCAACTTGGCCTCAGGAGAGAATGGGTTTTGGGTAGCAAAAGTCATCGGTCAATACTAAGTAGAAAACAGGCCAGATGCGCACGTACCCACACTAAGTAGCTGTTGAATATATCTTTACCCCCAAAACCGTTTACTTGTCCAATTACTGCCAAAGTTGTTTCCTGAAAATTTGAATTTTTGTGCCGTTTACACCATGTTGCGCATTATTTCGAAAGGATCGCGCTCCTTTCATATTGGCCAGTTGCTTTTTTTCTGTGTGTAAAAGCTCTCTTCCGAAAGTCCGGTCTTCTCTCTGCGCTAGGAGTAGTTGGACTCGCGTTGTGCGCTCGTCCTCAAGTTGTATATAGTCGCTGATCATACCCGTTTGGATGCATAGCTTGGCTGTTTCACAAATTATCGGTGGTTCCGAAGAGGATTTTGTTTTCTGACATGGCCGGTAAGTCAAACTCGAATCTCTTCCTGGAAATTGTGGGGGAATGAGTGAGTGGAGGCTGTCGAGGTATAGATGATGAAAATCACGTAGTATAACAAAAATTAGATGTTGCATTTCTAAGAGGCCAGGTGGAATCATCCCGGCGTAATCCGTTACGCGTGAGAGCATTTTTTTTCCGAAGTAGTCAGTAGTTTGTCAATCTTGTTTTGGCCATAGTAGTACAGCATCAGTTCGGAATTCCTTATGCCCGTTTGTGCGTCCGAGAGGTGATTTGAATGGAAATGCCGGTGCTGATAACTACGAAATTCCCCCCCCCCACACACACACACGGAAATATGTACATGCTGTTGGTCTCGGTTAATCCAGCTTCAACAGACATGCCGAAGTGAAAGACATCTTGCTTTACTGTTTACTTCTCTTGAATTTTCTATGGCACAAATTTGCCCTTATCACTCATAGTAGAAACGTAGAAACCCATCTTATAAACGTCTCAAAATTAACCTGGGTGTTCACTCCATATCAGAACATTGGTGCAAACTGGCTGTTTCTGATACACTTGTGAATGTGTGAAGATATGAGAAAATTTCAACCAAGCAAAGGCTCCGGTGTGGCCTTGTTCAGTGATAGTGAGTAGTTTCTGAAGATGAAGTTGATATACAGAGATATCATGCAGATCTAAATACTGGACGACCGCGCAACGTTGCGAAAGAAAACCTGTCATGATGTTATATTACATTCACTACGCAGACGCTTCGTGAATACAACTGAATGAGTGAAATGGCTGCTAGCCCGTTCAAACTAAGAGGTAACCAGCCGCCACAGTCCTATAACCTTCCGAAACTGCACAAGCCGGGTTTTCCTATGCGGTAAGCCTGGAGTAGAATGTTGAAGTTGTACTTCGATACGATGTGGTCGTGGCCCGATCATTATACCGTCATCGACCCAACAAAGTCTGCACTAGTGGCATACTTCAGGCGGAACTCCGTAACCTTACACATAGTCTAGATATATTCTCTAATCTAACGATTATCCTGAGCTCTCTATTCGGAAGGGGGCAATGTCAACAGCATCTGGCGGAGGATTTACTACATAGCCGGGCCGGTATTTGTTCCATTGCCACCGTCCATTAAATTCAGCATAATCTACAGATTCACTTGTGAGTGTAGAGCTGGTTACCTAAGACTGTCACCCTGTCGTGCTGCAATGATCCCGCGGACTATACTGGCTGGAACTCGGTTCCTAATGGTTCAACCATGCCAGGAAGGCCAATAGGGAGCAGCCCTACGAGTCCCCGTACTGAGAGAAATCGAATTACGAGACATTCTGGAGATGGTCGTACTGTCCTCTGCAGTAGAAATGTGAAAGCAGTAAGACGAGACGACCAGTATGTTCATATTCATGGAGACAGCGATACTGCCTTCCCTAGGAAGGACGGGTTAAAATATTTCGGCCCTAAAAATCGCGCATTGTTCACTACGGTCGAAATGCCTCTGAAACCAGCTGGTGTAGCGCTGGCCGAAAGGCACCTGCTGTTCATTAGGAGTGAAACAGTATTGTCTTGCTCCCCGCGTCCTTGGGCGAGCCGGCTACTTGCAGTGTGTCACACTGTTGAGTCACGTGAAGAATCTACTGGAAGTTCCTTGAAACTGCCTCACCGTTCACACTTCAGCTAGAGTAAGAATCCCAGAACAAAGGCCTACATTCTTACACTGTATTGTGGGTCATCGTTTTAAGTCATGGGGTACCTCGAGCGGTACCTCACCCAAACTCCCATCCTTTGTCTTGGGCAACCAAGAAATATCATTTGGCCTTCGTTCCCCGGCCCACAACCCTCCCCACCCATCGAATACCTAGACAATAGAACGGCAACTGCAAGTGAGCGTGGGGAGGCACAAAGACAGTTGATCAGGTCAGAATCACAGACAACGAAGTCCTACACTACCGGCCTCCTAAGCTGATTGGCACCAATTACCGTCTCGGTCCAGAGACTGCATCCGATTTATTGTCAAGCACAACAAACAGTGGACTCGGAATCAGCTGGGGGTTATAAATTTTTTTAAGTACAAGCCAGATTCACGTAAACAGCAATAACTTTTGGTTTCGTTGACACTACTGTCGCAGCCTGCTCAGTTGACTTTTGTATGGAGGATATTTCGTTTTCTTTACAGCGGAGGAACTATGCTTATTTGTCTCAACTTCAGTATTTTCAGATGTAGACTGTTTTACATATATCAGATAACACTTCCTTTGTATGGAGAATAAACATCACTAGGTTTGTACTATCCCTGTGTGAGTTTTTATCACCTATAAAAGTCACCGAAATTTTCGGAACGACGGGAACAAACCGTTTTGGAGTCGGAAAAGTATTGCCTCAAGCCGAGGTCTGAAACGGGGACATGAAACAGCAAATACGACCTACGTCTTGCCGCTAGAGACTTATTTGACGTGGATTTTATCGAAGGGCGACAGTAAGTGGACGTTGGAGCTTGAGAGACGGGATGCGTCTGCAGAAGCCTACTTTGGCGTGTCCGTCCGGCTCTCATCATCACCATCAGAGACAGCAACATCGGTGTTGACACTAGTGCTTCACTGGCGTACAACCATAAAGTTCACCTGATTATGGTGGTTCATTGGCTTGTTCGCTGAGCTGGGCAATTTGATTGCAAACGTTTCATCACCAATCGAGGTGACATCATCAATGCGCTATTGGAGAGCATAGTAGTGGTTGCCAACCACTACTACGCTCCCCAATAGAAGAGAAAAAGAGAGGGTGAGGAAGGAGACCTTGTGTTGGCCTATGTCTAGCATTCCGAGGTGCCTACAACTCCAAGCGCTCAACAGACAACCTAGAAAGTAATTGACAGCACGAATGCCACAAACATAAATCAGCCGCCATTTCTTGCAATCGCGCCAACAAAGTGCAGTCGGGTTCACAGGAACCCCATCCTGGAAGGCGTACTGCACCAGAAACACCCGAACTCTCTGTAATCTCTTTCACACTCTTCTGCCAAGCCATATGCCTTCCACCTCACAGTTTGTACCATCCTGAAAGAGTCACCGAGAACAACACTCGTTTCGGTAGACGGCGTTTCGGCATGCGTAGAACATGGCCGAGCCATCGCAGTCGATGGTCGCGTATGTTTTCCGCGATCGAAGTACCTGTTGCACACCATCACCTCGTTACTAATCCGTTGATGCCATCCTAAACCAGCAATGCTTCTGAGGCATCCGTGATCAGAAACCTGAAGACACCTCACACTTTCTGCCCGCAGAGGCCAAGTCTCGCAGTCATACAACAGTACAGCCCTTACTGTAGCCTGGTGCACGCGACCCTTGGGACCCAGTGATATGCCTTTTTGACGGCACAGATGACGCAAATCAACAAACATGTTTCGGGCCTTTGAGATTCGTGCATTGACTTCATCCACTGGTAAGGTGACTCGACTGGTGGTGCTACGAAGTAGCTGGTTTGCTTCTCATGGTTGTATATCGTCTTTCTGAAGAGTTGCGTGGGTAAATTTCTACATCGAATCTATCGCACCTGACAGTGGAGAAATTTAGGTGACGATGGTTGACAAGACCTGTCGGTGAGAGGTTGATCGATCCAGATGGATGGGAGTAATTGATGGCACTCTAATTTGGTGCTTGTCTATGAACTTCAACATAAGTTGTTATAAAATTAAAACTTATCTCTTTATTGTGGACAGATGACTGTACCGATGGTGGAGAAATTGGCTATGCTGTTGGATGAACACTGGCCACGCCTTCCGGAACTATGACAGTGCAGTTGTAAACCAGCTGCCAAGCACAGCGAACATGTC